TTCCTCTCTTCGTTAGGTGGATCCCATCTCTTCCTAACAATCCTTGTGCCCAGAAGAGAGTCCCATGGTCGAAGAAACCAAAGCCCTCTCTCCGACACCACCTGCACAGCCACGCATTTACTTCCTCAATTCGACGATGCCTACCCGGACCTTTTCCTTCAACCGGAAGGATGGACGAGAACACCACTTGCGCTTCAGGTTCCTTGATCCTTCTTCCCAGCGCTACATCATCTGCTGTGACCTGCTCAAGGTCATTCTTGGCCATATCGCTAGTTCCTACATGGAGAAGCAGGAAGGGCTTGCGATCCGAATGTTTAATCACTTTCAGAAGACTCTCAGTCACATCCTGAATGCGAGCTCCCAGTAAGCAGCACACTTCTCGAGATTGCAGGTCTGGACGGCAGATGGATGGCTCAGTCCCTCTCAGGAGGGAGTCCTTGACCACCACCCGTTGTCTTCTTTTGGGGGGGTGGTCGTGGAACCCCCATCCCTAGGACTGCGCATCCCATGCCTTCCGGTAAATGGTGTTCCCTTCTGATTTCTTCCCTGAGAGATTCCTGCCAAAGCATTTTCCACCGCAGTGCCTGTGGAGAGAGCCTGAAAGCGGTTCCTTATCTCTACAGGTATGGGGGACACTTGAGTTGGCCTTCTTCTCCTTCTAGAGGTTACATGCTGCCAGTTTTCTTCCTTGTCCTGTACTGCCCTGACTGGCTCTTCAGCCTGGCGTGCCTGCAGGATTAAATGCTGCCTTCTATCGAGGAAGTCTTCATCCTCTCTGACAGAACGTAGGGTCAATACTTGGGCCTCCAGTCCTCTCATTTTTTCTTTCAAAATGGCAACCAGCTTGCACTTAGTGCAGATGAAATCTCTTCTTTCTTCCGGGAGGAAGACAAACATGGCACATGTTGTGCAGGTAACAACAGCAGAGCTATCACTATCCATACCTGCCTTCCTTCTGAGAGATTCCTCAGATGTTATTAAATGCCTCCTTGAAGGGCAGGAGTGTAGTGAAAAGATGTTAAAGAATGGTGAATGTATCTCGACCCCTTCCCAACTCCCTCTCCAAACTCCCTATTAGCAGCTCCTGGTTGCAAGCTCCCTGATCGCTGACTCACTCCTTTATAAAGCCCTGGACTGCATGATAGCCCCTACCCCTTATTAAGGCTCAACCAATGAGCAGAGGCTTCTAGATTGCAAACCCTGATTAGAAGCTCACAGCTTCCACCTGCCAGCCACAGCACTCACTCCGTGGGGCGGGGGGGAGGAGGGGGAGAAGGGGAAAAGAAAGAAACAAAAAACCAGCCAAACGCAAGCTCAGCACACAGCAAGAAAACCCCAAACACAAACACACACTACACAGACAGCCACTTCCCTCAAGGATCCTGTATTAGCTTCCTCCTTTATCTGGAGAACTCCCTCTCCAATGTAAATGTACAGTAATGCACATTGGAAAACATAATCCCAACTGTACATACAATATGATGGGGACTACTTTGGCTCCAGCTACTCACAAGAGAGATCTTGGAGTCATTGTGGATAGTTCTCTGAAAACATCCACTCAGTGTACGGCAGTAGTCAAAAAAGCAAACAGAATGTTAGGAATCATTAAAAAATGGACAGAGAATGAGACAAAGAATATCTTATTGCCTCTATATAAAACCATGGTACGCCCACATCTCGAATACTGCGTACAGATGTGGCATTGGAAAAGATTCAGAAAAGGGCAACAAAATGATTAGGCATTTGGATCAGGGCTATATAAAGAGAAATGAAAAAACTGGGACTTTTCAGCTTAGAAAAGAGGAGACAAAGGGGGTTATGATAGAGGTCTATAAAATCATGACTGGTGTGGAAAAAGTGAATAAGGAAGAGTTATTTACTTGTTCCCATAATATAAGAACTAAGGGTCACCAAATGAAATGAATAGGTAGTAGGTTTAAAACAAACAGAAGGAAGTTTTTCGTCACGCAGTGCACAGTCAATCTGTGGAACTCCTTGCCAGAGGATGTTGTGAAGACCAGGACTTTAAAAGGGTTCAAAAAAGAACTAGATAAATTCGTGGAGGTCAGACCCCTCCATGTCTATTAGCTAGGATGGGGAATGGTGTCCCTGGTCTCTGTTTGTCAGAGGCTGTAAATGGATGACAGGGGAGGGATCATGTGATGATTGCCTGTTCTGTTCATTCCCCCTGGGACACCTGGCATTGGCCACTGTGGGCAGACAGGACACGGGGCTAGAGGGACCTTTGGTCCGACCCCGTCTGGCCCTTCTGATGTTCTATCGGAGGCGCTGAGCACCAATGAGTTCAGCTGCAGCTAGGAATGTGCAGCTTCTGCGCATCAGGCCTCTAGTGTCCCAGGCTGGACCCTGCAAAAGGAGGCGCACACAGGCAGTGCCTACCTGCTAAATCGCTGAGCCGTGACATTCCCAACATCACCCAGAGAGTGGAGAAGACAGGGAGGGAATCCAGTTCCCCATTCTACAGCCTTTCTTCCCACCATCCACTGCTCATCCCTAGCGCCCTCCAGCTCCTCGTCTGGATGAGGGGGGCCTAGAGACAACGGCTCCTTTTCGGCTCGCCCCGCGCACTGCCCGACGCGGGCCCTGGGGAGAGGCAGTCGGTGGCCACGCAGCCTCTTCTGGCATTTCCTGGCTCCCAGGAGCTGGGCTGGGAGAGCCTAACCCCACCTGAGCAGTGTGGGGTCTGCAGCCCCGGGACTGGATCTGCTGGTGGTTAAGCACAAGGCCGCTGGCGCCTGGCGCGCCCCTGCCACTCTCAGCAGGGACGCCCCGGACTGCTCGGCATCGCGCTCGCCAGGCAGTTTTAGCAGGGGGCGGGGGAGGCAGCTGGGCTTTGGCCGCTCGCTGGCGGGACAGGGGCTGAGGGCAGCAGAGGGGCTGAGGGCGGGACAGGGGCTGAGGGCAGCAGAGGGGCTGAGGGCGGGACAGGGGCTGAGGGCAGCAGAGGGGCTGAGGGCGGGACAGGGGCTGAGGGCAGCAGAGGGGCTGAGGGCGGGACAGGGGCTGAGGGCAGCAGAGGGGCTGAGGGCGGGACAGGGGCTGAGGGCAGCAGAGGGGCTGAGGGCGGGACAGGGGCTGAGGGCAGCAGAGGGGCTGAGGGCGGGACAGGGGCTGAGGGCAGCAGAGGGGCTGAGGGCGGGACAGGGGCTGAGGGCAGCAGAGGGGCTGAGGGCGGGACAGGGGCTGAGGGCAGCAGAGGGGCTGAGGGCGGGACAGGGGCTGAGGGCAGCAGAGGGGCTGAGGGCGGGACAGGGGCTGAGGGCAGCAGAGGGGCTGAGGGCGGGACAGGGGCTGAGGGCAGCAGAGGGGCTGAGGGCGGGACAGGGGCTGAGGGCAGCAGAGGGGCTGAGGGCGGGACAGGGGCTGAGGGCAGCAGAGGGGCTGAGGGCGGGACAGGGGCTGAGGGCAGCAGAGGGGCTGAGGGCGGGACAGGGGCTGAGGGCAGCAGAGGGGCTGAGGGCGGGACAGGGGCTGAGGGCAGCAGAGGGGCTGAGGGCGGGACAGGGGCTGAGGGCAGCAGAGGGGCTGAGGGCGGGACAGGGGCTGAGGGCAGCAGAGGGGCTGAGGGCGGGACAGGGGCTGAGGGCAGCAGAGGGGCTGAGGGCGGGACAGGGGCTGAGGGCAGCAGAGGGGCTGAGGGCGGGACAGGGGCTGAGGGCAGCAGAGGGGCTGAGGGCGGGACAGGGGCTGAGGGCAGCAGAGGGGCTGAGGGCGGGACAGGGGCTGAGGGCAGCAGAGGGGCTGAGGGCGGGACAGGGGCTGAGGGCAGCAGAGGGGCTGAGGGCGGGACAGGGGCTGAGGGCAGCAGAGGGGCTGAGGGCGGGACAGGGGCTGAGGGCAGCAGAGGGGCTGAGGGCGGGACAGGGGCTGAGGGCAGCAGAGGGGCTGAGGGCGGGACAGGGGCTGAGGGCAGCAGAGGGGCTGAGGGCGGGACAGGGGCTGAGGGCAGCAGAGGGGCTGAGGGCGGGACAGGGGCTGAGGGCAGCAGAGGGGCTGAGGGCGGGACAGGGGCTGAGGGCAGCAGAGGGGCTGAGGGCGGGACAGGGGCTGAGGGCAGCAGAGGGGCTGAGGGCGGGACAGGGGCTGAGGGCAGCAGAGGGGCTGAGGGCGGGACAGGGGCTGAGGGCAGCAGAGGGGCTGAGGGCGGGACAGGGGCTGAGGGCAGCAGAGGGGCTGAGGGCGGGACAGGGGCTGAGGGCAGCAGAGGGGCTGAGGGCGGGACAGGGGCTGAGGGCAGCAGAGGGGCTGAGGGCGGGACAGGGGCTGAGGGCAGCAGAGGGGCTGAGGGCGGGACAGGGGCTGAGGGCAGCAGAGGGGCTGAGGGCGGGACAGGGGCTGAGGGCAGCAGAGGGGCTGAGGGCGGGACAGGGGCTGAGGGCAGCAGAGGGGCTGAGGGCGGGACGGGCTGAGGGCAGCAGAGGGGCTGAGGGCGGGACGGGCTGAGGGCAGCAGAGGGGCTGAGGGCAGCAGAGGGGCTGAGGGCGGGACAGGCTGAGGGTTGGCAGCAGCAGTATAAACCCCCGATTTATACTTACGAATTTATTGTGGTCAAAGATGTTGATGACGACGACCGGGGTCTCTGTCTTCAGCTCCTCTCGCTTCCCATCAATCACCAGCTGGTCGTACACAAGCAGCTCGTTCCACAAGGGGCTCAGCGTTTCCTCCAGGGTCTGCGCGGAGAGCGGCCAGGTGAATGCAGCTCCTGGTCTCCTGCAGCTCGGCCCAACGGCCGGGACGGAACCAGTGCGAGGGCGAGCGGGACCACGGCGCACCCCTCCCCCAGTGCCGCCTGGGCATCGCCGGGACCTTTGGGCGATGGCCACGAGGGCTCCCTGGGCAGCAGCCAGCTCCTGAGACCACGGCTGGGCTCAGCTAAGCAGAGGGCCTGGCAGGCACAAGGGACAGGACCGGGACCAGCAGAGCATGGGCGAAGCCCACGTTCCCGGAGGCGTGGAACTAGCAGGCTACGGGAAGACGGGGGACGCTAGGCTCCCCTTTGGTCACTTGGCAGCTTGCAGCCAGGTCAATAGCCCCATTGGGTGGCCAAGCCAAGGCGTCTGAGCCACGAGCCCCGCGCCCAAGAGAGCCCCTCCGGGACAGGACTGTGAGGGGATCTGAGGCCATGGGGCTGCCTCCCCCCCCCGGGTCAGCCACCTGGACGCCC